AGACCATTGCGGCAGTGGCCCGCCCTGATGCGGTCGCAAGGTGACGACGATTGCAATTCCGGCCAAGACAAAAACGAAACGGGCGCCAATTTTGAGCCACCAGTTCCTGAGGAAGTGAGCGCGGCGTCGCAGAGGGACAACGTTGGCGGGAGAATCATGGGCGTGTTGTTCTGGGACTGCTTGCCATGTGGCTATGGGTAAAAGTTGCTGCGTCGGCAGACGAGCTTCGGGACTTGGGCTTCTACCGACTGCGGTGTCGCCGCGGGAAGGTCCTTTGCGTTTGTGTTCAGAAGACTTCTTCGGCCAATGACGACGTTCCTTGCGAGGCGGAGGTAATGCTCGGTCCATGATTTCTCACTCGCAGACGACACCGCACGAATACGACTCGGCGGCTACAAGAACAATCTTGCTCGCCTGCTTCCTCTTGGTTCAAAGTTAAAGAAACCACCTTTCTTTTCTCGCCAATTTGCCTGCACGAGAGTGAAGAACATCGACGAAGCGAAGAAATGGGGCCGACGCTGCTTTTGTAAATCGCCGCATTTTTGATCGTCGCGCTACACGAGGCTGAGTGTTGAGAAGGATGCGCGGAAATGTGGGAGGTAATACACTGTTCTTTACCCGCACGCTCTTTCGATTGCTTTATGTGAGCCCTCAATTGAATCAGCCTAAGCTAATCGGTTGAGAGACGGTCATCCAATGCATATAAGATGCGCAGAGACGCCATTGGAGCTTTGATGTATACTAATCGCGCATATGCATAGGCTAGCCCGAACTGAGGACTGTGCATGTAGGTAGGGAAGTGGGGAAAGTCCTCGTCGGGTACATTTGGTCTGCTACGCAGAGGTTCCGACCGGCTGGCTGAATTTCGACCATGAGCAGCGCCCGTTCCTCGCTAAACTCGGCAAATGTCGAGCGTGAATTGTGCCTCTGGAGGAGTATGTACTGGATATGTGACCAGAGAATGCCAAAAAACTTCATGTGTTGATAGGTTGCATAGTATATACAAAGTACGCCGGCTATGGCTCAGCATCTCTCATATCGCTCTTGAACCTCTCCATACATCTCTGCTTCGTCTCCTTCCAGTCCACATGCGGCCTGGGATAGCCTAACTTCTCAAATTCTGCTTTAGGTAGTCTATCGTGAGGAGAGAAGACAGCCTTTCCCTCCACTCCTCTCAACTCGGGAACCCACCTTCTGATGTAATCACCATGGGGATCGTTCTTCTCTGCCTGACTGACAGGGTTGAAAACCGTATAGCTCGGTTCCCAGCCTTGCGTGTTGTTGCACAGATCCCAATCCACGAGTGTTTCGGCAAAGTAGCGCTCACCGCGGCGGTAGTTGATCAGGAGGTTGCAGTATAGGTAGGACGAGACATTCATGCGGAGACGGTTGTGCATGTAGGCTTCGTGGTTGAGCTGGCGCATTCCAGCATCGACGAAGGGGACGCCTGTCTTGCCCTCATACCATTTCTTCCACCCATCTTCATCGTCTTCCCATTGTACGAAGTCGAATTTCAGATTCTGCGGCAGATTCATACTATTGTGCGGTATCACAACCATCATCTGTCTGTATAGCTCTCGGAAGACGATCTCGCGAACCCAAGAATAGACACCTGGGCTGGCTCCCTTTTCGCTGAAGTCGGCGCTATTGCTGTTGTAGGAGCGGAGGGCGGAAAGGGCTTCCCGGACGCTGACGGTACCAGAGGAGAAGTAAGCGGACATGCGAGAGGAGGAGTCTTTGGAGGGGTCGCTGCGAGTTTTCGCATAATTTTCGATTTGCTTGTGGATGAAGTGGTTTAGACGGTCAATGCCTGCGGCGTGGCCGGCTGGCCAAAGTTTTCGAATTCTTTTCTTTGTCTCATCCGAGTCGAATTGCTTATTCTCGGGTACTGGTGGAACATCATGTGAGGCACCTTTGAGGTCTGGCATCGAAGCGTTCCTTTCGGGACCGGGTACAGTGTCGAGTAGCTCTGGAGACTCTTTGACCAATCCAAGCCAGATGCGATGATAGGGCGAGAAGACCTTCATGGGCCCTCCACTGCCCGTCTTCACTTCTCCCGGTACGACAACTGTCTGGTCGTGATATAGCGAGAATTGGACACTGTTCCCTATGTCCTTGAACACCCTGATGTCTCTTCGAAGCTCATCCACCTCGTATTCAAAATTCGCGAAGACGTGTGAGGCATCATTCTCTTTGAGGAAGTTGACAATGGTAGGTACGATCTCTTTGCGCCCTTCGGCGGTCGCGAAGACGAGGGGGATGTGGAGTTCTTTCAGCTCTGCTTGCATCAGTCCAAGTGTCTGGAGGATGAGGTCGCTCCTTGCAGGACTTGTTCCATGCCATTGGAACTCCTCGGCGCAATAAACGTAAACGCAGACGAGGGGCTTCGATTTCTGCTTGGCCAGCAAGGAGGCATTGTGGAGAGCTTTGTTGTCGTGGATGCGTAAATCTTTGCTCCTAAACCAGTGGATGACATTCTCCACATGGTCAATTGAATCCTGGGAGTCAAGATGTCGGAGAAGCTCGTTGAAGGGTGTATCCGCATCGATCTGCTTGGCGCGTTTCGTAGAGGGATGCTGCAGCTCTGGGTGCTCTTCGGCTTCGTGCTTGACCATGTTTGATCAATCGATGGATGCTAGAGATTGGATCGTATATCCTTCGTCGTTTATATAAAGTAGGAAGGAGATCGTGAGAGCGTACAATGAGCGAAGATGCAACGCGAACAAGGGGCGCGTTTGGCATGGAAAATGATGCAGATCTCGGAATGATGACATCACCAGACGTCTGCTAGATTAGAGTACCCAGATCTCAGACACGCTAGCTCAGCCCTATTCTGTAGATGCGATTCCACTTATTGACATTTACCCCACAATAGGTAATGTACATGTATTCGACTGAGTGACGATGGAATGTCATCCTGGGACAGCGAGTTCAAGTTGTGTCTGCAATATATACACCATGAAAACGCAACTTACCCATTACCTTATGCCTCGGAACTGCGGCCGTCTCCGACTAGAGTACGAGTACCTTGAATTTCGCCATACAAACTTTGCAGAAGGGTTTCTTGCATTTGTTATTCCATCACCTCATAACAGGACAGATTCGTTGTCGCATCATCCCATCTGCTTCTTCACAACACAGCGACCCTCTCTGCTATCCAGCGACATTTCTCATCATTATGCTTAGACCAGTGGTCTTGTGCGGATGACAGACACTTTCGCATTCTCATGGTCATGCCACGCTTTCCAACCACCTGTCCACTCTTGATGCACCCCCATCAAACCAGGTAGAGCATTCTGGTGGCGTCTCGGAAGCTCAGACTATTGTTAATCGGGCCTCATCCGCAGATCTCGTGGCGGACGTGCTTCTCTGTTGAGAAAGCGCGGTCAAGAGGATTGTTCCACATCGTAGCGCGCGATGGATGGTGGCTGACACTCATCGACCTTGTAGGGTCTTCAAGGATATGGAATACTGCATAGATGTTCTCTGAAAATCGGGAAATGTTGACAGGTTTGATTTGTTTGCAAATCCCATTTCACGTTTCATTCCACCGACGAAGAGCCCTGTCATAGGGTAGTCTCAACAATTTCGATCGTCCGTAGTAGGCTCAAGATCTTAGAGTATAGGGTCTACTCGTTGCCTCGTCGCTGTTGCTATCGTTATCTAGACTGGTACCATATTCCCTGCTTGTTCATGCTCTTCCCCTTTGGTGGCTGGTGTCTGAGCCTGCAGCGCCTGAAATTATTTTGCTTTAGCTTGACAGAAAATATCGACGACCGCCCTTGGTCGGCGCCTTCGGCCGAATCGAGGAGTGTCACACTCTAGTCAGCGACCACTAATACATCCGCATCAGTCTTTTCAAGAAGTCTCATACAACAGTATATTCGATATACTCGTACGTGGCCGCTCCCTTCAATGGGTTTCAGCAATAGTGTTTTCGAATAGTGTGATTTGTGCCCCTTTTGAGTATAAACTTGACCATTTCCGAATCACCACTTTTCGCCGCCGAACACAACTCACTCACACCTTCAATTTCAACAGTGCTGAGGTTGGCACCAGCTTCGCCCAAGATCGCCGAGGTCTGACTGTCTTTTGAGTGTAGGTTGGTACTCCAGAGCGTGCGTACGCCGCCATTCTTACAGTTCCCCTCTTCATCTTCTGAGCTGAACAGAAACCTGACTATTAGCTCACTCCTGCGCCGAATGACTCGAGGGAGAGATCATTGCCCTGCATTGCCTCGTGTATCGACATTCATGGGGAGGTTCAGGAGACGCTGTGCTATGTTTTGTCATGCGGAGAAGTTTCCCTTTTTCTTTACGGTCAAGAGGCAGTTGTGGTTTCCGGATTTTATGTCGTCTCCTTGATTGCCTGCAATGAATCGAAGCTTATCTACGTCACCACCGTCAGTATTCAGCAGCAATGGTACTGGAGTTCTCAGTGTTAGCGATCGCTATTCGGCCGCCGTGATGCGAGCTTTCGCGGCAATGCTTTCGCCAGCAGCATTCCAGTCTCGTTCGGTGACCAGACAATCAACTCTCTGCCATGTTCATGGCGCAGGTCAAAACAGGCAACGCTGGCTACCAGGATCTCGACCGACTTCTTGTATCCCCTTTCTAGAGCAGGTGCCAGGGCCATCTTGGCATCTCCTTCGCGGCATCAATATTAGTGGTCTCTTTAGCAGCAGCGAGGCGATCTTTGCGGTCTCATTGGAGCAGCGAGATGAGGAGCTGTGACTTCAAGGATCTGACTGGTTTTGAGCCGTGGTAGACGAGTCCTACGACCGACAGTGTCCCAATACACCAACGCCAATCTGAAATGGCCCCGATATATCATTGATCTTGAAACTTCGCCGCCAATGCGTCACCAACGCTGTTATAGTCGCCCATGTATCGGGCAGCGCAGCATGCAATTCTTAGTTGCTTGCGAGTGAGGCGACAGTCAGGCCGCTGTTGATCTGATTTGTGGGAAAAGGCGGAGTGTTAGAATCAAAGGGATGGGCTTTAGATGCTACGATTTGGGTAAGATTCAGCAAGTTGGGAACGACCAAACGCATGCCGTATCGGCCCTACCTCTCCACGAACCAATCGCGGTTCTCTAGACTCGATCTTCCTTCGCACTACCACACCCTTAGGAGGCATCACCGACTCGCCTCCCGCCAACCTGAACCCAACATCACAGATCCTACCATGATCGCCCGTCCTCTCCCAACCCTGCCACGCCCACGTCCTCGCGAACCCTCTCTCCACCGCATCCTTCTCACTCGCGGCAACCTCTGCGACAAAGTCCCACGGTATCGGCTCCTTGCTGCAGCCGAACTCGAGCTTGACGTCCCCGGCTCCGACGGCTACTTGATCGAGCTCGGGCTGGGATGCCCAGGTGTTGAGGGCGTTGTCCCGGACTTGGGAGTAGAGTCGGCAGGCTGAGCCGAGGGGTGGGATGGCGAAGAGGGCGCCGTAGCTTGTGAAGAGTGTTGACCAGTGGGGGATCGGGAGGTGTTGGCGGCTGACGAGGGAGGGCGCGGGCTGTGGGAGGACGGGGACGACTACGGAGCCAGATTGGGAGGGTCTGAGTGTAGCGGGTGTGTTGGTTGGGTTTGGTGGGTATGGGCTCGCACAAGTAAATGCACTGACGATAGCGAAAATAAGAGTGAAGTGAAAAGGGAAGCGGAAATGCTTGTCAGCGAGGTGGATGGCATTTTGAGATCTTGGGCAAAAGAAGATGCAACATTCCTCTGCTGTGGGAAAGCATAAGCATGTCGCATAGACGCGGCCTTTGGCATTGCAGCGGATTTGATTCACGATGCGATACAAGCGAAGTCAGGCTCACGAACCCTGATCCGCCATGGTTGTTGCTGTGACCCAAGCTGGATTATTCCTCCTTGGCTAGTGAATACAATAGTTAGATTTCATCAACGCTTTGGGGTATGCTGAAGCCATGCACTTCGCTATGCAATGATGTCCCATACCGCGCAAGTCGATGTAGATTCCATCCTTACCTTTCCGTCGCTATGCTATATCATTGAATCCACAATAATGCCCTTAGGTTCCGTAATGCATGGTCATGATGTCGTATTCGTCGTACGCCTAGTCTCTTGGGAGAGTGTGCATCCCCTCAAAGGCTTTCCTTCAACCTGGGCGACGCTTCTTCTTCGAAGCTGCTCTTGTACCAGTCTCGCGATATGATATTGCATCTCTTGATCGTAGCGTCCAAGGCAGGACACGCGGAGCCTGAGGGCCTCTCAAGTGCATCTTCTTTTGCCTTCTCATCTTCTTTGTGGTGGTCTTCGAGACCCTCGAAGTATTGATTCGCGGCCCTAGTGCGCTTTCGGTGACAAGATGCGGCCTGTCCTTTGGTATTGGATCGGTCATTTGCCTTGGTGGTCTTGTGCCAAAGGACGCTTGAATCGAATTCCCCTCTGGCACATCTTGTTCTTTTGCTGTTTCTGTATGCTTCCTGGAAGCTTTAGAAATGCTATTGGGGCTGTTCTTGGGGGTAAGCTGTGATAGCTGTGGAGATGGGTTCTCACGCTTTTGCGACGAAGTCTTTTTGATGGGCTGTTTGGAAGGCCTGGTGGCAGTAGGCTTGCGTTTCTTGATTCCGGCAGCAGTAGCTAGCAAGACACCATCTGATTGCGGAGGTGATGGCGACTGGATTGGGCTTAAGAGTAGTGACTGGGCGTAGCCGTTGACCGCCCTTCCTTCTGCTTCCAACTGTTTTCGCCTATCATACACCCTCGCCAGCTTTTCATATTCAGTTTTCCAATGTGATGTCTGAGAATCCCAGTATTCCGGGTCCCCTCCGAAAATCCCATATTGTTCCGGCTCTTCTTTTCTGAGTATTACCCTCCCAGCATGGAATCGCTCCAGAAGCTTGGCTTCCTTCACTGCCCAGGCTTTGGCTTCTCTCAACTCTTCGATAGGATCAGCATCTGGCCATGTTATGAGCGGAGTTCGCTGGCTTTGGGGGGTCTGTCTGTCCGGTGTGACAGAGAATTGTCGACTATAGTGCTCACGAGGATAGGGGTTTTTCTCGAGGCCCGCATTGACAAAGCGGAGCTGCGCGAGTGGGGGAAGTATACCCAGAGTACTGTTAGGGCGAGAAATTGGGCCTGGCTCAGCTTCGGTCATTGGGAAATACAGCAGTGTTTGTAAGACTGCTTCACACACAGAGGATGTGGCCGTAGTCAAGGGCCGGGTTTGTGTAGCAAAACAGCTCTAGTATATCGACACAAGACTTCCATATTTTCGTCTATCCTCAAGTTCCGACCTCGAATCATTGAGCACCAGTCAAAGCTCTCTTGCAATTCTATCGGAACAAAAAAGTGACGAGCGTTGATTGAACCAACAGCGAGGCGAATATGATGTGTTTACTACCATTCTCCAGGTTTCGCTGGCCTCATCGGCGGATAGACAGGCGACCGGATGGCACGACCACCAATGATGGTTAGAAGACCTTGATTGGAGACGGCAACCCGCATATGAAACCCGCCCGATCGGATTACCTCAACTTGTACATCTCTCCTACTTGCCTATTGTTGTCAGATTCCATCCTTTGCGGTGGAGGGATCATGTCATTTACTTGTCCTGTGATGCGCCCCCTCTTTCTTGCTCTGTTCTTCTTGTCTCATGATCCATAGCTCCAGATATATAACCATACACAACGGCGAGAGGTCTTCTATAGTTTCCGTCACACGTCTTTAGCTCGTCTCCCTAGACGAAGCCCCTGCGTTTCCTTCCACTTTCTCTCCCTCCCCCCTCTCTTTCTCTTCATTAATCCTTGTGACACTTCTCATTTCCCAAAAGCTTACCGCTTTTTCTGCAGAATGGCTATCCCCAATCTTGACTCCCTGGTTGTCGTCGTTCATTTATTTGGGGACCTTGCTAGTGTGACCTCTGCGCTGCCAGAGAACAGTGGTCGCCGTCTCCCCAAGAGCGCCGGAGAGATCGCCCTTTTTAATCAAATAGTAGGTTTCCGGAAGCCTATGAACCGAGAACTCACTAATGCTAGTGAAATGCAGACAGTGGAGCATGGCGATATAGCTTTGTATCTCAATCAGCAACCCAACGACATCACTAAGGGTTTCATGTTCGGGAGCGACCCAAGATCGTGTGATGTTCTATTAGCGAATACCAAAGACACCGGTATCAGTGCAAACCATTTTTCGATCCATATCGACTGGGTTTCTCGAGATCCAATGATCACCTGCTTGTCAGGTAACAAACTCCAGGTCAAGGTCACTGATACGAGGACAACTCAATACCTTGCCAAGAAAGAATGGCGAAATATGAGGCCTGGCACCACTACGAATGTCCACGTTACTAACACACTAGGTGTATCACTGTTCAATCCAGTTCGGGGGAACCTACAAGCTAGATACAATGGAAACTTGCAAGACTACTTTTTGGAGTTCAAGAATTCGGTGCCTGAGCTGGCCAACATCAGCCTTCGCGACGAGGAGGTGACTCCTCTCATTCTGGACCGCTGTGCAGGCCTAGAGGGAAAGGAATACTATACCACTGGGAGGATTGAAACAGGGGATCCTATTTACGACACCAAGGTGTTCCTTTACGACGCGAAGTTCAAGCCGACACCAGACGCTCTTGCGACGACCCAAGAAGTGGCAGTAATCAACAATAAGGAGCCCAATCACTTTTTGGATGCCAAGGGTAAGCAGTCTGTAGCTTTCTGACATAGCTCCATGGACAGTGCGACTTAAGCTAAAATTCTCAGGGTATGAAGACATAGAAGACTGGAGATTGCAGGAAACGGAGGGCGGCCGACCGGGCGAAATATGCGTCGTCAAACACTTCCGAGACAAGAAGAATCTGTGCAACTTACCCTCTCGATTTCCAGAGCTATGTTGTTTGAGCCATGTGAGTGCTCTACAGCCCGGACGTTTTGCCATTTATGCTGAACTCAATCGCCAGTTTAACATTGAAGAGTTTTTGGATCTCATCACGGAGACTTCTGTGTTCATGACTGTTACTGAACCTTTCTCCCGTACCACCCTACATGCGCTACACCAAGAGGAACCGTTGAACACAATCGAGGCCGGATTCGTGCTGGGACAGACCTTGGCGGCGTTGGAATATCTACATAACCGACAGTGGACTCATGGTAACCTTGACCCACGCAGCATCCATGTCATGTCCAGAAAACACTTGTGGATCAAATTGACAGATATTGCGCTCTCTGACTATGTCGATTTGGGAAAGCCGAACGGCTACCATGACACCTATGCTTCTCAGCGTTCATCCCAAGCCGACAAATCCCCAGCGGACATTTGGTCAGCGGGCGTTGTGGCGTTACACCTTCTCTTTCCTTACGGTTTCCCTCCCCGCAACAACAATGAACAGAACAAGTGGGTTCTAAAGCTCGCACGCTTCGCCGCGAACAGGAACCGGAAGTATAGCAATGACGCAACTGCATTCGTACGGAGGGTGCTCAGACACGATTCCGATGAGCGGCCCACGGCAACGGAGGCACTCGAACACCCGTGGATTTTACAAAACAGAAGAGAGTCACCCGTTGACAGCCCCCATTATAGCTTTCCCACTCCCCAGGTATCGTGTCATACGGGTGTGGGACCTTCGGATGCTTCCAGCAGACAAGGCTCAGCCGCCACTTCGAATTCGTCCATTCATGGCGATTTTGCGCCAGGTTCCCGCCACACGAGCGCAGGACCCTCCCGTCGCTCCAGCACACAAGGCTCCTCCACTCGTTTGAGGTCTACTGCAGTGGAGGATTATGCCCCAGGATCCCGCCATACAAGCGTGGGAGCATCTCGCAGACACAGCTCAGTTGCTTCTTCAAACAATGCCACTGGTGGCTTACATCACCAAAAATACGACCCTACAAGTAGAGCAGCGTCCAAAAGCCTCAGCAGGCAGAGTTCAACCGACCCGACCATTCGAGCTTTACTGGAGTCGCATCCCTACCCAGGAGACGATTACAACGACTTCGAAAGCGAGAATCGAAGCACAACATCACGAAACAGCCGCTTTACTGCCAACTCGCTCGCTCGATTGGCCCGTGCGCCCACACCATCCGAATCTGACGACAATAAGAGTGCGCCAGTGGGACAACGCTCCTTGCGCTCGCAATCTCGCAGTAACGGAGGCAGATCTCCAGCCATCCAAAGCGAACACGCATCGACAGCATCACAAAGCAGCCGCTTCACTGCCAATCCGCTCGCTCGAGAGCCCAATTCACACGTACACCATATGACTCTGAAGACGAATCAGGCATGCCAGGCAGACTGGGCTCCTTGCGCTCGCAGCCTCGCAGTAGTGGACGTAGATCCCCGGCCGTCGATAACAAACATGGTGGGCCGGGCCCCTTGCGCTCCCAACCTCGCAGTGGTCGGGGTAAATCCCCACTGAGTGACTGGGCAACGGGCACATTTGGACCGGTAGAGGGTCAGGGAGAGGCCGTGATCGAAGAAGATAGTGGCGAGGAAACAGCGACGGATGAGCGCCGTGGGCGGGTTACAAAGAAGCCGCGCAGGGATGCAGTCGTCCCTCCGCTGGAGAGGAACCTGAGGTCTCGCGGAAATGGCAGGCGCTGAGAGCCAGAAAGTGTCTTTGTAGCAGAGTAGAGGGCTCCTGATAGGAGAAGTGGATAGCAATTTGAGCAGGATGATGTAGATATCAATGGCGTCTAGCCCATCAGTGCTCCATCTCCTACACCGTGAAGCCATCATTGTAACCTCGCCGCCATCCTGTTTCCCTCACCATCAACCTACGCAACCTCCTTCTTCCTATACAACTTCCTAGCCAATAATGTGGCAGGTGTATTAGCTGAGTTTGGTGTGTATGGAGTTACGCACGCAAGTGCGCTGAAGATGGCAAAAAAAGGACATGGAAAATGGAGGGAATATGCATGGCAGCGAGGTGAATGGTTTTCGGAGATTGGCAACAGAGAAACGAGACATTCCGTTGCGATGGAACAGCGAGCGAAAACATTCACACCTGTCATTGCGCTTGTTATGGACACGCCTTGCTGGCGGATTTATTCCCATGACACGACGCAATCAAGATGCTGGTAGTGCTGTTGACTACTTACCTCCTTTGCCAGTACTTGATGACGCTTACATAGCTAGTGAAGATGACGGAGAAGTAGCAGCCGTGCCCTTGGGTATCATTCTTTGTCCATGCCATGCAGCCAGTATTCGCCAGTCCCGAATTTGCTCAGACCACTTACATATATGAAGCTCTCTACAGGCCATAAATCCGTCGCTATGCTATATTATAATGTTTTCGTAGATGTCCATTAGAGTTCATTGTCATGGATCATACACTTCGGCCGTGCGCTCATTTTCTACGAAGTCGAGACTTTCTTTGGAAGGGTTTCTTCTTGTCTTGGCAACGTCTGTTCTCGATAGTTACCGTGGTGTCGGTCTCGCGATATGATGTTAAACTTCTTGATCGTAACTTCCACGACAACGTGTGCTGAGCCAACGGAGCCTTTGGTGACAGGACATTTCGTTTCGGTCCCTCCATTGCCTTGGTTCTGGAACTCTTTGACAATTTCCTTTCTGGGCCTTTTGTGCTCTTGGTGGTAGGTGCAGGCTCCTGCTTCGGTTGGAGTGTTGCTAATTCTCTCCGCTGCCTTTTGGTACGGCTGGTTTGATCCAAACCCTCCTCCTCGTGGCCTTCAACTTCGGTACGTGTACGCTTCTGGCCCTTTGTAAGGGTGGAAAGGTAGTCGGGTTCGTGTTCAGGTGTGGGTTGTAACGGCCTTTGCGATGGTCCTGCCTGGACTTCCGACGGACGTGTACTAATCTCAGGCGACTCATCACTAACGGCAGTGTTTGTCTTCGGATTTTGTGCGACCCCCGGAACGCTACCGTTCGAGGGTGGTGGAGACAGCGATTGCAGTGGGCTCGAAAGCATTGCTAGGGCATACCTTCCTCTGTTTCTCCCTCCAACTCCTGCTTCTTCCTTTTGCCCAATTCTTTCACAAGTATCCACATCTTCCCTTGCCAGTGTTTGTTGGCTTGTGATGACCAATAGTCTGGGCCTTCCTCAAGGACTCCATGTTGCTCTGTTTCCCAATTTCTAAGCATGACCCGTCCAGCGTAGAATTGTTTAAGAGTAAAGCCGTTCTACAGCCTTTCTTTCATGGTGCGGACCTCATTGCAAGCGATATCAATCTTTCGAGTCTAGCTCAGGCCGGCCATCTCAACCTGAATCATGCATCTTTCCGCGATAGATTGCGTCAACAGATAGTCTGAGACCGGACCGAGGATACAAACCTCATTGAAGCTGCAATGGTAAGCCGTGCCGACCAGTCAGTGCCCTGATCGACTGGGTATGGTACTGTATCCCAGCCTGGTGCAAGACGGCGGGTTGCTCTTACGCAGTCACAACTGTCGGGCCAATATCCATAGATGGAAACGCTGCGGTTAGCGCCTCTTGTGACACTTTCAGCACGGGATTGCTTGCGACATCACGACCGAGCTTTGACCGTGGGAGTTTGCCGCGGGGAAGAGCATTTGAGGAATGTCATGCATGGTAGGCGTATGTAAAGGGGGTATGGCAAGAGCTGGAATCTCAGCTCTAGGCTCTGTCTGCGTTGATGCCCGAACCACTTATCAATTTGACGTTGGAGCTATTGAGTTAATCCACGAGCTATCTACAACATAGAAGAGAGGGTCTTGGAAATGTTTGCGCTGCTTTATCTGACCGGACGCCGATGTTGGATGGCGAGTGTGTCCCTTTCCTGGCGACTCAGTTCGCAGAGGACTTGTAGTCCTCACCGGAATGCGGGACATTGGTTTTCTAGAGCGGAGCAAGGGTCCCTACCTGAGCTATTAATGTCTGGGGTTGACCGTCGTCATTCGAAGAGCAGCGCAACGCTCGCCATGCTCATGATGCGTCGTGGCCTTCACCCCATGGTCTCGGCTTTTCAGCTTCAGGCCCTGCAAAGTCTCCGCTGCAAATTCGATAAGGGCGTTTCAAGGACCACCCAACGCTGTTCGGCAACTTGTGTCGAGCATCTCGTCTACCACTGCCCAATTGAAACCCTTACATATTAACGAGGAAGCGATAAACCCCTTATCGCCTTGGCGTTTAGGCATGAATAGCTCGTACACTGTGGATTATTTATATTCCCCGTTTAGGTCTGCTCCAGAGCTCCTAAATCGGAGGGTAAGCTGACATATCTAGGAACGAATACGTTATCATCGTTCATTCTAAGATCTGGCAAATCGCGATCCCAGCGGAAGTCCAGCTTTTCGTGGGATGCAGGAGGATAATGTAAGATAACATAATTAAGGAAATGGTTACAGGTGGTTCAGGCATGATCGTGTAATCACAGCAAAGAACCCTTGGACTGCATACAATTGCGCGATGGCTTTACATGCCCACCGAAACTGACTTGGCCGATGCTCGTTGGCGCTGTGACAACCCGCTACGAAGACAACGGCGGTCTCCATTGCATCATATTTTGTTTGTCTGCTGCTGGCGCTGGGAATGGCATAGGAGGTTCTACCGTTTCGGACTTTGACAGGGGAATCCTCAGCGTGTTGAATTCTAGCTGTCTTGAATCAGAGTAAGTGCATGGAGGAAGCGTAGACCAGGTCCGAAGACCGGCGAAGGGAATGGGGACGCTCGTCAAACACAAGATAAGGACCGCTGGAAGGTATCGGATTGAAGATGGGAAGACAGAAAGGGCCCCTGCATCGCGTATTGAATCACGAGCATGTCTGCGACTCGGAGCTAACGGCTGAACACATGAAAATGTAACGTTGGCATGGCGTTGTGCTGCGCTACTCATCATGGACGACAATCTATCAGGGTCATGGTTCCAACATCGGGCAAGCACGGCCTCCCTGAGCATGCGGAAAGCATTACGGTATACTATAGGACCAATTGAGTGAATGATTAAGTAACGCTGCTGACGAGGCATGCATGAAACTCATACATGCGAGGGAAGGGTCGTGTGACTCGGGAAGATGCGCACCGCTTATCAAGGCTGCAATAAACCGTGGCAGACTCCCAAATTTGAGTCTTGTGGGTTCTATGGATGAAGAGTATTATTTCTGAGGCTGAGAATGTTTCTGATTGTTGATCAGAGGCGTATAGACTGTTCGGAGACCACTTAATATAATCCAAGAGACTCGATTCTTCTGAACAGAATGAACCTTAAGTAAGAAGGTCTTTGCTGCAAGGAATCCTGGCAGACTGCCAATTTTGTGTCTTGTCCATTCTATGTATGAGCAAGAAGACTCATGGAAGCTGAAAACATCTCTGGTACTATCTCTGACGGTTGGCAAGAGGCGTATCGAAAGTTCGAAAACCGCTTGATGGGATCCCTGAGAATAAATTGTTCCGGGAAGCATGAAGCTAAAGCAGGATCAACATTTTGGTGCAAGCATTCTGGAAGGGCAAGAGTGTCAATTTTGGTGAGGCGGACGTGTGCGGGACATGGATGCGCCATGATGGAAAATATAGGTGATGGTGCAGGCACGTGATAAGGTACAAGTACTGCATGCCCACGGATGAGTTCAAGTTGGGTAGGTGAGATGCCTCGAAGCAACTGGTTCATGAAGCTTATGGTGATGGATGGACAGGAAATTTGTAGTTTTTTCTATCCTTCATCAATCAGCAGGACTCATTGTCCATGATAGGAAAGCAAGAGCGAACGTTTAGGAGGCGTTGAGTAAGGCTGATTTTTGCTTGTCGCATGACTGAGCTAGAGGTAAGTTCTATTGCCCCACATACGCTACCCGTACTCTACGGTCGTCCACTTCTTCTTTTCGCGCATTTCCCCTTCTTGCGTGATTCTCTGTATATATTTCCTCATCCTCCTCCTTCCTTACTTTGCCCTCCAATAATCTCACTTTTCCTCCATGAACTGTCTTCGACCTCAATAATATTCTCATTTACCTCCCACCTCAGTTACTCTGACAAGGTACCTTGAAGCCATTTCTCTACTCTAGACTAATCCTCATGTACAACCTTCATAGTCCACCCTTATCCGCTGCTTCTTCCACTTCCTCACCACCACCAGAATGCGCTGAGCGGAGGAAGCCCAACATTCTTTTCATTCTCGCCGATCAGGTCTCCGCTCCGCTCCTCCGTATCCACAATGACAAGTCTCCCATAAAGACTCCAAACATTGACGCCTTAGCAGCCAAATCAGCCGTCTTTTCTTCCGCCTACTGCGCCTCGCCACTATGTGCTCCCTCGCGCTCCTCTCTAGTCACCGGACAACTGCCTTCTCAGATCGGTGCCTGGGACAATGCATCGCCACTGGGCTGCGACGCTCCAACATACGCCCACTACCTGCGAAGGGAGGGGTACGAGACGGTCCTGGCTGGAAAGATGCACTTCATCGGTGAACAACTACACGGCTACGAAGAGCGTCTGACAAGCGATATATACCCGGGAGACTTCGGATGGTACGTTCAATGCACATAGACGGGGGAAAGGATGGAGGCAGGCTGGTGGTTTAATCGAGCTCGAGATTCGAGCATCGACACCAGTACAAATGTTCAGCTTTCCCTTCATGACATTTGCTAACCGTTGTAGGGCCGTCAATTGGGATGACCCCGATCGTCGTCTTGAGTGGTATCACAATGAATCCTCTATACTCCAAGCTGGCTCCTGTATCCGCTCTAACCAGCTCGATTTCGATGAAGAAGTCATGTTCAAGGCCACGAGGTACCTGTACTCCACCGCTCGCCGTCCATCTGACTCGCGTCCATTCTGCCTGACTGTCTCGCTCACACACCCACATGATCCTTATACCATTCACAGGGAATATTGGGATCGGTACGAGGGTGAGGACATTCCGCCTCCTTCCGTGACCATACCTGAGGAAGAGCAGGACCCTCACAGCCAGCGCTTGTTGAATGTATGTGGGTTGAAGGATGCAAAGCTCCCAGACGAAGCTATCGCTCGTGCTCGACGAGCCTACTTCGGCGCGGTGAGCTACGTGGATGACAATGTGGGAAAGCTTCTGGAGGTGTTGAAAGAATGTGGCATGGATGAAGACACGATTGTGGTCTTCTCTTCTGATCACGGGGATATGTTGGGCGAACGAGGACTATGGTACGTGGTGATCTACTGATCAACAACAGCAGGGTCTATTCGTGCCATGTTCCCATTCACGAGGTCGACGACTTGAAAGCTAACGATCGTCTAGGTACAAGATGTCCTGGTTCGAAGCCTCTGCTCGTGTACCTCTTCTGATCTCGTACCCAAAGCATTTTGAGCCACAGACCATCACACGTAATGTTTCCGCTTTGGACATCCTTCCCACACTTGTGGATCTGGTCAACGGGTCTTTGGACAAGCGTCTCCCTATTGATGGCAGTTCCCTTGTCCCATACCTTCACGGTTTCAATGGGAAGGATAGCAATGATACCGTCTATGGAGAGTATGCGGGTGAGGGCACGATCGCCCCGCTCATGATGATCCGCCGTGGGCCCTGGAAATTTATCACCTGCCCGGTGGATCCACCCCAGTTGTTCAATCTCCTCGAAGACCCCAAGGAGCTTCATAATCTCGCAACTAGCATTGATCCAGGGGTGCAGGAAGTGTTCAACGCTTTCGCTAAAGAGGCTCACGCGCGTTGGGATTTTGATCGCATCCACGCAGAGGTGCTCAAAAGTCAACGTATGAGGCGTCTGTGCTGGGATGCACTCAAGCAAGGTCGCTTCCATAGTTGGGACTACCAGCCGCATGAAAATGCAGGGTCACAGTAAGTGCATCGCAAAATTGAAATCCGGGGTAAACCTGGGGAAATAAATGGCTCTGCTTACACATGCGTTCGTAGATATATCCGCTCCAATATTCATCTCGACGAACTAGAGCTCCGTGCACGCTATCCGCCTGTCGATCATATGGGCCGCGAGAAGAAACGAGGAGATGCCAAAGGCATCGCTGCGGCTTGGGGCGAGTAGGCCAACATCGTCAATCTTACGAGTTTCCTTTTCGCTCTGGTAGATCTTGGTCATGTCTTTGCTTTGACCTCAACGTTGCATGTCATAACAGTATCAAACTTTAGCCAGCGAGCTTGCACGCGTCCATCTGCTTTAGCCTTGATGTTTTCCTCCAATCATATCATCAGCTCTAGCGATTTAGCGTGCGTATTGCTCTACCAGCCTCACTGTTGCAGCATCAAATAGATCTATTCAGCTTAGCTTAAAATTGTATTGATTGGTTCGCATGCAGTCTCTTTTAGCACAAGTGCACACACCTTCCAATCTTCGAATAATGCCGCAGCATCTGCCCTCCAATGCATCGTCGCAAGCCTGATCGGAAAGCTTTAGACTGTCTTGGCAACGCCAATGATACCATGCTTGTCACTGAACGCTGCCTATCGAACAGAGGCTTCGCGCTCTCTACTACTACTATCGTGACACTCGAGGACGAATCACACGCTCGTGAACCTCATGACCAGCATCGAGCGATGCCCTGAACTGCCCTTGTCTCACGTCCTTGATCGCTTTATTCATCATCTTCCCTATTCCATCATTCGCCCATCGTCCTTCGTCCCTGATGCTCAATCCCGAATCCAATCCAACTCAATGCATCCGTCCTTCAATCCCTTCCCCTCCCATCCAGACCCTCAACACTCGGTGCCTCATTCAGCTGCTCATTTACCTGGCTCCTTCTATTATGAAGGCGCAGATGCTGTGCTTCCCACTTTGTTACTGAGGCGCTTACTTACCTTGTGTGATGATGGGACTCGGGTAGAGTACATACAACGCTTCCGTGCCGGTGAAGGTATCTGCTAGGCATTGGGCATAGGCTTGGAGAGTTTTGATCGGATTGTTTCTGTGAATGTTGTGCGAGGGAGGGGGAGGGGGAGAGGAAGTGCAAAATTTGCTTTTGGTGGATGGTGTTCGAAAGGTGTTGTTTTTTGGGGGTGGGAAATGCGGAGGTATTGCCGCACTGGTTGTGGGGAGTTTTAGTGGAGCGTGTTCGAAAAACTGCCCTCTAAATGCCGGTGATGGGAGAAGAAACGCAGGCCACGGACAGACAATTGGGACTCCCGAAGCATTGGCATGCACAAAGGAGCTGCAATTATTGTTCTCTCCTTGACCAATCACCTTTGAGCACGCTGTCGCCTACTCAGCCAGCTGCCGTGTTAGGAGAAGATCTGTCGGACAGAGCCTCGTGCATACCGGTATGCTGCGGCACAGCTGCACGATGAGCTTGTTTTGCAGGATTGACCCCCATGCGCCTGGAGGGGTTCTCTCAGCCTCGTCTGACGGGTGCAGAATTCCTAGTCCATGACGAGTCCTGATTAGATTCACGGTTCTTCGTACCTACCATTTCTACGAAGTCTTTCACCACCAAACCATCTGAAGCTACCAGGAAAGCCGGATAGAATAAGTGGCGGTTGCAACTACCACGACTATCGATCTCGAGAGGTCTGATGCGCGGGGTATCTGCCGGATCTGTCAGCACGTCTCAGCGCTCCTGTTGCCGCATTCAGGCAAATTCATCTCAAACTTCGATGGACTCTATCGTCGTAGGCAGAAAGGATGGAGGTACAGTGCCAGATCGTTTCTGGGAAGAGGCCAGTGACATCTTCTACCAAGACCTTGGTAAAGCCAAAAGGGCAAAACTCGATGACACCATTCGGCTTGAAGATACTATTAAAAGTTTGCAGCTTGCTCAGAGCAAGTTTTCAAACGAGGATGGGACCCATACTTTGCATGTTGGAAGGCAAAAGGATTGATATCAAAGTTGGCCGTGTTATGAGAAGGCTAGAGCTTATGCTTCAGGTAGGGGACGCTGCTATGCAATTCAAACCTAAGACAGTGTCCTTGATGTGGTCAGCATTTCGAGTGATTTTCACTGTCTGCTTATCCTCGTAGCGCACCAACCGCATATTGGCAACCCAGATTCATTTTTGGGGGGTTTCTCAAAGATTCCCAAGTTTGCGCTTCTTTGTTCAATTCCGTGGACCACTTTTCAGACATAAATTTTGTACGTCAGGTGTATGTCAAACAGTATTCCAAGGAGAGAGTAGCAATAGATGACATCCAAAGTTGCTGGAGACCGGGTTTTGAAGCATATACCGCCACTGTACGCCATGGTACTAAATTTTCCTATCAGACTCGGAAGCTTGTATTTGATCACGAAGAAATTCGGTAAATCAGTGTTGCTCACTTCTTGAGGGTGACTCACCGTACCTGACAATTAGGTCGGACATTGATCGGAGTATCTGGTGGCGAGTTTGAGGAGTTCAAGAAGATCGTGGACGATGCTAGAGAAAAGCGAGATGCATTGAAAGGGACGGCAGATGTTGCTTTCAAAACAGCCGCTATTGGAATATTGGAAGGTGACTCCAAAATTCTCGAGGATGTTTATGAAGTCATCAATGCCGTCATGGTTCCAGATCTCAAGGTCATTCAAGCTGAGCTTTCCAAAACAAGACAGTACGAAGAGGAGAAGGATTTGGAGAAAGCTTTTCGAGAGCTAAAAGACTGGCTACTGGCCGGCACTTCCGCTAAAATCCAGGCGCCTAAGGTGCAGCACCTCGGGCATCTCAAACATCGACATCCCGGAATATGCAGATGGATACTTCGGGCACCCGAATATGAGACTTGGCGTGACCAAAAACATCCGAGCCTTCGACATCTGTTTGGGGAGGCGGCTACAGGAAATCGTACCTGGTATCAAGTATCGTCGAAGATTTGAAGCGTCATATTTCCCAACAGATTAGGTCTAAATCTCAATTGGCCTATCTCCTTTGCAAGAGTAGGGACAACGCTACCCAGTATTGCCTAACAATAATGTTACACCTAGTGGCGCGATTGTTCACCGCCTGCGGGGACGAAGCTAATAATGGAAATGACAGTTTGCCAGGTGAGGGCGTGAAGTATCAAACTCTCCTCGATGTCCTCAAGAACGCAAGAGACAAAGATGAAGAGCCCAGAAGGAGAGAGGGACTCGTCGCTTCTGCAAATCAACTCTGTACTTCAGCCAATGTTTCTTGATATCGCAGAGGTCATCAACACAAAGATTTTCGTTATTGTGGATGCACTTGACGAGTGCTCTGACTGGACTGCCGGATTTCTGGACGCTTTGAATGCACTACCGGAGTCGGGCGTTGACATACGGGTTCTAGTCTCAAGCCGTCCCGATGACCACATTATAGACGACTTAAGGGAGGTGCCATGTAAGGAAATTGAGGTCAGCAGGAAAAAAAACCCATCCCGATATCCTTGCGTATATTGAGGACTCTCTGAAGAGCATGCCACGCTTCCGACAGCTGAACGCAGGTCCCAGGATCGCTAGGAAGTCCGATGGGATGATCCAATGCAAGCCATCTCCAATTGCGTCTTCAAGCCCTCTCACTAATCACTCGGTAGATGCGAACATGGTCATCGAAAATCTAAAGCAGTCAAAGGCTGTGAGGATTAACGTGCAACTATTAATGAAACGCCTTCCAGATGGGATGAGCGATCTCTACAAGCAGATCTTGGAAAGGTTACAGGAAGACGACCGTGAAATGCTGCTTACAGTACTGCGATGGCTGATGTGCAGCGAAGGCAAGATTGAAATTGCTCTGGTGTTAGACGACATAGAGCGTTGCTATGAGGACTTGGGCACCGATGAAGACGACTCTGAAATTGAGGATATCGAAGATTCTGACAACAGCTCAGCAGTCATCGGAGTATCAAAAGGTATGGAGCCCCAAGAAGAGAATATTGACTACAAGGATCGAGAATCGGTAAAACGGCTCAAAACGGTAGGCCGAGATTGTTTGAAGTTCTCTTCGGCAGTCGTCGACATCCAACACAAATCTGTCCGAGACTTCATCAGCAGTGAGGAGAAATGGCTGGCTCAGGATCCCAGGATTTGCTCAGATTGCACAGAGCGTATGAATCAAGTCTCCACCTACCAGGCTTTCCCAAAACATGAACATCTCATCATGGCGAAATACATTTTTCGAAAGCTCATGCCCCGATCCTTTCAAGACAAGTTCATCACGATCAAAGGCTTCGAGAAGGACAAGCTTAATGCCGCGTCGAAAACCTCATCTCCCCCAAATTCAACGATCTGACACACTCCTCTGTAGTGGTTTGACAAGTGAAAGTGTTGCATTGCAACACGGACCTGACATTGGCATTGAAAATCTAGCCCCAAAAGTAACTGTGAGCCTGGGCACAGAAACAACAGAGCTAGCCACACACATTGCGGCGGAAGCCGAAAAGGACAATCCTATATCGAATCTGCCGGACTTCGGTTCTGACGAGGAAGAACCGCCCAGATACGAGCTTGCACAATGGTCAAGACACTTGCGAGCTGCAGAGGAAGCCTGGCCTGCAGCTGAACGCGATACCGACCTGCAAGAACGTTGGGAAAAACTTTACACCATCATCGAGATAATTCTGTCCCCTGGGTCACGTGTTTACAGAGATCGGTCGAGGAGGTTATCCTTGTGGCGGAGCCTACCCTTTGGACCCGCTTCACGTTGTAGCTAGATTTGGTCTGCTTGGAATGATGCAGAGATACATCTCGTACGGCGCGAATGTCAATGTGTGTTAGACGAAGACGAGTGGACCTCTCTCGAGTGGACCCCTCACCATTTCGCGTGCTGGAAGAATGGTGGAAACATCGGCATTGAATTGCTCGCGCAGCATGATGCCGATGTGAATGCGTTAGAGAGAATAAAGCAGACCCTTCTTTCAGTGCTCGCTGCAGGTTCTGGCTCGCCAAAGTTGTTTCAGTACCTACTGCACCTCGGCGCCAAACCTGAGGTTCCAAACAGAGATGGCCGGACTTGCCTTCATTACGCAGCACATACTCGTAATCTAGAGCTTTGCAGTGTTCTTGTTCGCTGTACCACAGTCGGTATTAATGCTGAAGACAGCGAGGGCGAGACTCCGCTCCATTGGATGTTCAAACTCCCAAATGCTTCATATGACTGGTAAAGCTATTTCTTGACCACGATGCGAAAGTCAACGAGCAGGACAAAGAAAGTCAGGGACCACTTTATGCAGCGTGTCCGGTAGGCAATGTCCCTGGCGCCCGACTGCTGTTCGAATATGAAACGGACAGCGACGATGACGACGACGTGTTGGGCAGGACAGCAATGCTGCAGTCGGAGCAAGCAACCTTGAGCTCGTGAAGCTACTTGTTGAGAGGGAAGCCGATGTGTATCGACAAGATAAAAAGAGGCGGGACTGCTTCGCGCAAGCAGCCGACGAAGATAGTATGAAACACCAATCCACCAACAATCCAGGATCCGATATCTGCGTGCAACTGCGGGCAATTCGCCATCGTCATTGACATTCGCCCAGCAAAAACGCAATCCCAGTTTGGAGGACTGATGCTGATTTTGACAAATAGCGATAGGGCGTAGCATAGAGTAAATTTTTTTAACATCTTGCATTTTGTTCATCTTACTGGCCAATAGCTATGTAGAAGTGAAAGCATGTTTGGCGAAGCAAAAAGTCAAGCCGGTTTCTTGCGGGTTTTGCGCCAATTAACTTTGTTTGCGTCGTCATCCCCTCAACCCCTTAAGCTTCCCAGTCTCCTACTGCGTCTCAGTTACGCGCAGCTAATATTGCCGTCACACGATATTACACTTACTGAGATCATGGGCTCTTCGAGTTCCAACAAACTGAATATCAAGAAATACACACGAAAATATCACCCATGTTTACCTCAACGATTGGCCAGAGGACGTGCCGAATAACCCGTCCACGACCACACCGTCTCCTCCGCAGCCCAGTTCCCAGCCACAGACCACGAGGTACTGGTAAGTACCGACACCAATATGCGAGAGCTGGAATCGCTGCCCGACGGAGCCATCAGTCCCCCTCGACAAATTTTCTTAGTTGGTTTCGAGGTTGCTTGATTCGAGCTACTCAGAACGGTTACTTTGACGAATGGCCGGGCTGCTTGGGTGCTTAGTGCGGTCTGATGGCTCATTATTACGTATGGGTTGAGGGAGATTGGTGATGCAGTTGTAGAGACTGGGGGTTTCGTTGTTGCGCGGTTTGAAGTGGGGTAAGAGTAATTGGGTTGAGGAGGGATTAAGCCGTATCCATTTTTGGGTTAAGATGCTGTTGGAGTGTTATTGATTGACTATGCTCCTAACATGTCAGCTAGGTTGAATTCGAAGTTTTGGCTAGAAGCATATGAGTTATAGCTAAGCTATATTGATATACCATTAAAGCATCAACGGATGAAGGTTGGAACATCAGCTTGGGGACGTGCATCAAGATCTGGCGTGCCGGTTGCATCATACGCTCAGATTACCTTGCCGATTTTCTCGAACCGATCTGATCCACTGACGCCACGATTATGACATGCAGCTCATTGACGAAGTATCCGCCGATTTGCAGCAGAATTTCCAGCCGCTGAAGGAAGTAGTGCTCAAGGGAATGAAATGGGATGCGTATATTCCTTCCGTGTCAGCTAGCCTGGAGTATCTCAAGTATTGCGGTGGGACGAAGCTAGCGACGTAGTTCATGGAAGTTCAGATGGACTTCTTCGGCGCGCACTCATTCGATCGATGAGGGCGAAGACCCGGGGAAGAAGAGTAAAGGAGCGCATCATTATGAGTGGAGACCAGCATGGCAGGCCACCCATAGTCATTGAGTCTTTCCCTATTTTCTATATCCTTCTCTAAGCTCAAAATTCTGCATTCCCTAGGATCCTCTTTATGGGTAGCGGAGTAAATAAAGCCATAACCGCGGCATCTCAAACTTCAAAGGCCTAACGATTTCTACGGCGTTTTGGTTTTTGGCCCACTCACTTCTCTCCATCTAAGGTCTTTGTGTTCTCAGCTATCTCTTCTCGTCCCAGTCCACCCCTCTTCCTCATTGTGCTCCACATCCAAACAGCAGCCCAGCAAGTGAATAACAACGAGACGCCGATCTGCGAGCCCACGACCACGGTCCTCCACGTATCATTCTTCTCCCCATACCAGAGCAGCAGGCCGATTGAAAAGGCGATAAAGTGACCAATCAAGCAAGACCAACGGTACCTACGCCAACGTAAGATCTATTCGAGTGGCTTCATCGTGTCCTTCGAACCGGAAAAGAAACATCGTCGCCAGCATGATGGAAACGACGCTTGTTGAGGCCGAGCTGACCATGAAACCCTCCGCAGCACGTGATTGGGCCGATGTCGTGGGGTGGAGCTCGTCGAAGGTGAGCACAGCGAGCGATAAGCTGCCTGTGACTGCAGCGACCACATTAAAGGAGGAGCAACAGAGCTCCTGGCGCGATATGGGGTTTCATCAGATACTTCTTATATATTATGGTTTCTCAGCTTTTGTTTTCCTCACGATCTAAAGTCAACTTCAATGCCAAGGGAATTGACGCGTCACGTGTAGGCAGTAGTCCAAGTTTAGACTAGCTGCAGAAAGTCCTCGCGACTTCGTCAACAACTCAACGCATTCAACACACGTCCAACGATACACTTATATCAAGCCTCTTTTCTTTGAGGCCTCTTTTTCGAAGCAAGCAACAACGACTCTCTGAGGTCTTGAGTTGCTGAGAGTAAGGCTTAGGAAAATGGCGGGAAACAAGAGACGCCGAACCAGTGGAGGCTTCCACACCACGAGAGGCGATCTCCTCAGTACTGTGTCCCCATCCTCCGCCTCGCAACCAACTTTCCTCAGCACTTTTGATCGCGCATCGCGCTACCCCATCTTCCACACTTTCTGTGATTGCCTCACAATCGCTGAGATCGTCGCGTTGACTCAGACATGCAAGAAGTTCTCTGGCTTGTATCAGTATCTCCTTTCATCTCAGTGGGATGTGGATCAAGCACTTCGCCGCTATGTTGAAGATCCCCAAGGCTTCAGATCTCAGATGGCTAGATACGACGCGCTTATATTTGGAAACTTCGCAGTTCAGTACTTTGAGAGAAACATTTGGAGCTGTAAGCGTCTAGTCGTGTATATTTTGCAAGGCCGTGGATCTCAGCTGTTCAGCAAATACCTCTCAACCATAGCAGGTTATTCGGAAGTGAAGCTGAAAGAATATGGCCCGGACCGTCCTGCAATGGAGGTAGGAATTTCTGCGATGACCATTATATTGGGCTCTTTGCTAAAAGATTTACGATCGCAGACCCGTACCTTCAAGAAAGATGCCGACAGAAAGTTTGAGATCCGTTTGCATTCAACAACATGCCTACCTGCTCAATACATACTTGAAAGGAGCGATTCTACTGCAGATGTCAATATTCTAAGCTGGAACAAAGCCTACTCTGTATTCCCGCTGCCGACATTCATTCAGCACAAGTCCTATTTGCTGCAAGACTTGGACAAGTCCGCTAGACAATCGGCACGAAAATACTCCCAAAGAGGATGGGATGTTCAGGGAGTGATGTGGCCCGAGGAGGAACGCCGTAATCATCCCATCCGGGAGCGAAGACGCGTTGGCGACCGTTATACGTGGACGATTCCTTTTGACACGAGGAAAGTAGAGTGGTCAAAAACGCCCGACTACGTCCTTGAGCATGCTTGCTTCAAGATGGATCTGTCCATGAACTATGATAACGAGGAATTTTATGATCGTTACCAGAGTGTCCGGTATTATCCTATCGAAGCCAACATACTAGAATCTAAGGTCCTAAAGCACACTTATGTTTACGGTGGCGTCGACATGATAGACTTCTTCTCTCCTCGACTCCATTCCTTCATTATCTTAGAACTCTACAAACTTGATCCTGCACAGAGGCCCACCAATTACAAACAGATCCTGAAATATCCTGACAACATCGATGGCGCCCTTGGTGATTTCGATCAACCGGCTAATTGGACATATCGAGACGACGAATTTCCAAAATGGTACAAGGCTTTTGAGCAGTACCAGCCTGAGTGAAATCACCTCAGAGAGAGGAGCCACAAGGAGATGGATGAGCGAGATAGAAGAATATATGGGTCTGGTTGGTGGAAATGTTCGGCTCTGGCCTTACACGACAGCAAAGGCTTTGTGACGACGGTCACGACTCACTGGGGAAGAAATTGGACAAAGTCCGGCACACGGGAAGTAGCACTCGACTTTCTCCACTTTACCGGCTCCGCGTCGAGTGATAAGACTGCTCATTAACATGGGGGAAGTACCAACCTCACAGTGCAAGGGGCAGTGTTTAGGGCAGGTGCGATCGCAGCTATGTGTGTCCTTCCAGTGCTAGAATCTTTGTACCAGTATTGCAATGCCAAGTCCCAAGATCTTCCTTTCTGCGCCCGGCTCTTCTCTTCTCATCTATGCTTCCATTCTCAAGGTACACTTCAACATTTGATCGATGCAACCCGTATGAAGACGGGAGCCGTGGGGCTTTCTGTACTCCCAATGTTCGCAACACGTGCCAAGGCATCATGCCAATACAAGGTTGCAGACGTGACGGCAGTCTTTGTTAAACTTTTGACCACAGCAGTAATAAGTAGGACGTTTCTACATTTTTGAACGTCCTTTCTGAGACAGTATCTGTCATGTAGGACAAGTACTTTCGGCTCAATGCCTTAATCTTTCGCCTGCTCCGCCAGGACTAGCCGGCTCCTGAACCTTTCGCTTGACGACTCATTAGGACTTTCCGACCGTTCAGGCAAGCTATCAGAAACAAGAACAGTCTGAGACGCTGAATCAATGTACACTCTCACGTCGATCTCGAGCATCAACCCAGTACAAGATGTCTCTTATCATCCAATTCGTCAATCATAGGCACCAGTCCATAAGTCGAAACAACACTCAACAGGGCAGAACGGCGGAGTAATCTTCTTCGTCGATGCTGCTCCTGTCGGAATGGTGAACAGATATTCTGTTTCGACTGTCGCCATTTGCAACGTAATGCGCTGAACGAGATCAACGTCCCGTTCGCCAGGCAATGGTCGCGAAGCCGAGACGGTGGTTATCACGCACCGATGTGCTTTATCCGAGGCCGTACTTAATCAAGTATAGCGTCCTCTCGGCACGCAAATGGCCCAAAAATAACGTGTCGGCGAAGCCGACACAAAGGCATTTTCTTGCATGCAATTCCTTAAATTCGATAAGTCGGAACCTTTGTGGTAGGGTTCGATTCCTTTGACTAGCTGCCTTGTTGGCGCAACTCCCCGCGCGGCTTACAGCTCGGCAGGGGTAGAAAAGGGTTCGTGGAAGTGGGTGGGTATAT